CAGACTGTAACAAAGCTTGCTTTTCATGCCCTGTTACAGTAAAGTGTGTGAAGCAACTGATTAACACAGAATGAAACCGTAGTCTTAAATACTGAATTACAGTAGCCTACTCTTTCAGAAAGATGAAGACTTGACTACAGACCTATTACACATTCATCAAAACCCTCCTGCAAACAGCAAAACAAGTCATCCAGGACCACAATGAGAAAGATATTCAGTGATCACTACAACTGTTACTGAAGGGGTTACATCAAGCTTCACATCAAGTTTAAGCCTAATCATAACTGGAATTAGTACATCCCATTTACAACCCACCTTTCTTTCCATTCAGTTGAAGGCAGTATATGTGGTTCTTTTCCTCCCCTTGTTAAACTCACAAAACCCCTGTAAGACAGGCCAAGCTGAACGGGGTTAATGGATCCACGTTCATCCAAATCTTTATGACTCAGATAGGTCTTCAATCTACATATCCTAAATACTGGTCCAATACTAACTATTACACAACATTGGCTCTCTAATACTAATACAGATTCATTCCCTCAAGAGATAAAGTCATATCAAAAAGCACTGTAGTACTTGAAAAAGGAAGGGGTTGCTTTTGGAGAACTCATTACCGGGAAACCGCTTTGCCACACATTTTGTATGTTCTGTGACTTCAGAAAAAAGTTATAGAAGCTGTAAATAACACTGCAATCTGATATGATATATATGAAAAGAAAGGGGAGTTATTGTCATTTCTACTTAAGTCCTGTAGGCCAAATATAGCCTTCCATGTCATTTTATGTGGCCCTCTAGATACTGGACTAAAACTCCCATATTCCTCATCATTAGACATTATGACCAGAGCAGATTGGAGTTGTGATACAGTAATATCTGGAAGGACACAGTTTGTTCTGTTTAGTCAATATAGTGGGGTTTGATTTTAAATACGAAGCTTACAAATCCCATGATACCCAGTCCTCATGACAGATAATCAAAAGTGATGGGAGTTGTCATTCAATAACATCTGGGCACCCTAACTGGGTAAAAACTAAATAGCCTCAACCACTATGTGTGTATGTATATGTATGTGTGTGTATGTGTATATATATTCTCTGTCCATGGATTCAACAGCCCTTTAAAGGCAACCAAAAGGCTGATGCAGCTCTCACTGACAATGAGTTTGACAACCCTGAGTTAAATTGTTTTGCTGGCAAGTTTTTTTTATCTATTAGAAAGAAAATATTTCAGACAAAATGAGAGTTGTGCAGACTCTCAAGGGAATGAGTCTGCATTAGAGTATATAAAGCTGTATATAAAATGGTTACTTCCTAAGTATTACTCTTACTTGCTAGGGAGAATAATCAATATGCTTGGTTAGTAGTAGGGAGAAATCAATACGATTCCAAAATGTTTGGTGTCAAGAATTTTAAAAAGCCTCCCCTGTTAAGTGGAGGAAGCCATATCCACAACACATTGCACAGAACTGACAAAATAATCCTAGAAGGCAATGAATTTTCCACCTCACATCTTTTAAGAAAGAAAAGTCTCGGCTCAGAAAGCACAGGCTTCAACTAATGCATTAAGGCTTTCCAACACATGTCATGGGCAGCAGCCATGACAGCTAGAGTGGTGCATGAATTCCCACAAAGGTGTTCTGATAAAAGCATTACTGCCTGGCAGTGGAAGCAAAACCTCAAGGTTGCAACACTTCCAGCAGAACCACCACTGCCAAGAAACCTCTTTCAGGCATCCTACAGCGAAAGCCTCTGCACACATACACACACCATTAGCTGCTTCTGCCTGCTGTAACCTCCCTGTGGATACAGAATGAAAGTTCAGATCAATCATCTCTTAACATCGAGCTGTATTTTCTGGTTAGTGCTGCTGCTGTTGCTGTTAAAAGGAAGGGTGGTGAACACAGCACTTTTTAACAGGCTTGTGGGCCAAGGTGAGAAGGAAACTCAACTTTAAAGCAGCCTAAGTGGAAACAAGAGAACCCAACACTCAGGACAGCCTCCACCTCAGTTATTATCTGACAGCTCCAAACCTGTTCATCCACCGAGTGGGAGGAAACGATAAAACATTTAAAAGGAGGAGTAAAAAAAGGTTATGACTAGAAAACAGACTTTTGAAAGGTTATTGTTTTTTCCTTTCAAAAAAGGCAAAGATTTCTTTCCCTCCAAGTCCATGAAAACTCCAAATTCCATATGGAGCAAAGTATATGGAAGACTTTCAATATACCTGAACTCAAACAACTGAAACTCTCAAGCAACCGACAAAGGAATTAAAAAATACTTGAAATAAAATAATTATTGAAATACAAATCATTATGTTGTGAAATGTAACATTATGTTAAGTTGGTCTTTATTTGTCTCCATTTGTTTTGATTCCTCTGTTTCAATACTAATATCAAGTTAATACAGAGTTTATGGTATTGCGCAGTATGGGTTATGGTATTTATTAGGCCTATTTTTTAATAACAACTCTCAAGAAACCAGAAATTACATTTATCTGGCATCTACCAATCCCCATGGGTGCCAGTTAACTACTGGACTATGTGATCTTGAAGAGCAACTAGCCAATAAAAGGACAACAGTAAAACTCAGGTATGTGCTGATCATGAAGCTACAGCCAATTGACCTCTCCGGAATATGACTCAATAAGACACTCTTTTGTAAGCATAGCATTTTGCAACATATTTATATTCCAACACATACACATAATTGGCTGCATGTTAAATGTTTTAATGAAAGCCCATCTCCCTCACCTTCATGTGAACTCTTGTTTACTAGACTGCATACGATGTCTTCACTCTGGGATCCTCACAGAGCATCATTAAGAGCCTTATGAAACTATGCTATATTATTTCATTTTTGCTGCCTGTGGGAATTCTGGGATTTGTAGTGTGGCTCAAAAGCTCTCTGGCTGGAAATTTTAAGTTTGTTGCTGTGTGTCTTCAAGTCCTGTTTGACTTATGGCAATGCTAAAGTGAACCAATCACAGGGTTTTGTTGGCAAGATTCAAAGAGGGTTTGCTATATGAGGCTGAGGCCACATCTACACTGCCATATAAAATCAAGATTATCTGATTTGAACTGGATTATATGGCAGTGTAGATGTATACAATCCAGTTCAAAGCAGACAATGTGGATTATCTGCTTTGATAATCTGAATTATATGGCAGTGTAGAAGGGGCCTGAGAGAGTAAAACTTGCCCAAGATCAGCCAGTGGGTTCTCATGGCCAGGAAGGAATTAAAGCTCTTGGTGACTAAATGCCCCTCCCAAAACTGCAAATCCCAGGATTCCACAGGATGTTAGCATGGAACTTAAAATAGAAAATATATTGCTATACCAGTGTGGAGTAATAAGGCTTTTAATCGTGTTCGTCTTCAAATTATAACATCTAATATGACTATTGTGCAAAAAGGGTGTCCCTGGAATTTGAAAGTCTAATGACATGAATAACTCAGATAACTAGATTAAGTGTATGTACTAAATCCATTCTTAATCCTACTTAGAGTGGAGCTATTGAAACCAATAGGATTTAAGCCACTTATAATTAACAAATCCTATTAATTGATTCATGGGGCTAACATGAGATTTAGTATAAGATCTATTACTGCTTGGTTCAGAAGGATTTTCCCATTAAAGCAGGTGCTTTAGAGTTCACTACAAAAGCATAATTTCTTAACATAATCAACGGATAAGATTCTTTAGAACCTGTCGATTTAAATCAACACACAGGTTCTTCATGGATAATGACAGCAGCCAGGTTTTTTTATTGATTTGTTCTTTGATAAATAATTATGATCTCTTATGGCACCAACGATGATGGCATTCCAGCGCCAAGTAAGAACTTAGCTGTTTCTTAAAGTGTTGGGGCTATGACTGATTTCATCCAAATGTCCATGCTTAAATAGTTTTACATTGTTTTAACTGCATTCAAACTTTCTTAAGTGTCAAATGCTTTTAGCCTTTACGTTATTGTTATTATTTCAAACGGTTTCAATTGATTTTACTGTGCACTGCCTTGAGAACCTCCGATATAGAGTGAGGTTGATCCTTAATAACACAGTAATATCTTGTTCACCCAGAAAAGGTCTACCTCCTATAGTCCTCTTTGCAGGAATAATCCCAATCAGAAATGCAAACGGATCCACCAGCAGCACAATCTACTTTCTGCTAACAACTAATTTTGATATTATAACAGGGCTTTGTTTCACATACAAACCATCCATTCCAGGTCTTATCTTGACCATCTTTCCCATGGATCCATCCATGAGGTCCTCTACTGCCTTCACCATGACGGATCAGTTGCTGTAGTGGCTCTTAAGTAACAATTCACCTTGGTCCATCTCATAACAACTGTTTAATCACCATGCTTTCTCTTGTGGGTTGGATGTTATTGAATTGAAACTCTAAGCAACTATAGCTAGCATAGCCAATGGTGAGAAATGCTGAGAGTTACAGTCCAACAACACTGGAAGTGCTGCATAATTCTGACTCCTAGTTTACTTCAATGATTTTCCAGCTCTCTATATTCAATCACTTGGAAAACAGCTTTAGCTTTGGACCCTTTTTTATTCATATTGTCTCTATATCCCCTAGTTGTGCATTTTTGTTCCTACTCCATGTTGGGCCAAGGGAGTGATGTGATAAGCAGTGCCCACAGGGCCTCAATCTTTGTCATGCTCATTGTCTCATTCCTACATGAGAACAGTTTAGAAATTCATAATTAGGCACTAAAGCATAAAGAAATGTTTCTTCACCAATAAAACGGGGAAACAACTGGCCCACTTAGAGTAACAAAAGTAGTATGGGATCATCTGTTTTAAAGATGCCAGAAGATACTATGTGAAGACTGAGCAACCATATTTTACAGACTCAGGTGCATTCCACTTGCTATGGACCCTACATGAACAAAAGCAACATTAAAAATCTCCCTTGACAATGCCTTTGTACTTTTGGATTCCAAGTTTGCATTAAAGAGGAGAGTTGGTGCCAGGGACCATACGCACCTTATTTGTGGCAGTAGCACTGGATCCTGCAACCACAGGAACATTCGTCACTTGCACTGACAAGTAGTTGTTGTCTATGAGAGGCCAGGCCCCTTCCACTTTGCATGTCTGAAAGTGATCCTTAAAGGTCCGTAGATGGGGATCTCCAAATAAGCCACAGAAAAAGTATGTAGGAGGAGTCTGCTCCCCTCCGCGTTGCTCTCTGGCTCCCTGGCGCCCACTGTAATTGCATGGGTCATGTATGACTTCGGGGTTAGTCGAGGATGTCGGGCCATCCTTGGAGCAGTTCCTCTGGCTCATGAGGTCACTGATCCCCAACACAGCAGAATGATAGACCAGGTTCCCTCGGCAAACTTTGGAATTGCGGGTGGTGCAGGCGGAATAGGCACGCAGGGCTTTGCAGAACTCCAAATCAAAGCCATCAATGGCAGAATTTAAGTGAGAAGTCAACGATACAAAGTCTGTGGTGCATTTCTGGATACGACATGGTGTCTGCAACTGGCAATCACCTTAGTGGAAAAGAAAGAAAAGGAACATTAGCTTGTGGCATAACATTCTTAGGAATCGATAAGGAAAAGTTTGCCTTTTAAGACTGGGCAGTCTACATGAATCTCTCTTGGTCCCCATGTACTCCACATTCCCATAGGCTACATGTATCATGTGCAGGGGAATAATAATAATAACAACTTTGTTTTTGTAACACACCTCAATCTCCCTGAAGGGACTATGGGCGGCTTACAAATGGCAAAACGTGCCAAGATGAAGCATAAAATAAACACACAGTACAATACCATAAAGTAAAAATGTTAGCATATCAAAACAACAGTTTAAAACTCAGAACAAGACCCAATGACTTATGGTGACAACTACCATAAGATATGGCCAAACTGTAAACAAGACAAGGGAATGTGATAGTGCAAATTGTAGGTAAGGAACAGGGCATGAGGTGAAAGTGAAGTGCTGTGTCACTGATTGAGGACCACTGGGCTAAACATTCTCAAAGTCTTGTTTAAACATCCAAGTCTTCAGATCTCTACGGGAGGAGAACAGTATGGGGGCCTGCCTAATCTCCCTGGGGAGGATGTTCCAAAGCTGGGGGCCACCACCGAGAAGACCCTCTTCCTTGTCCTCACCAACCACACTTGTGACTGCGGTGAAACCAAGAGGAGGATCTCCCCGACATACGTTAACGCTTGAGCAAGTACACAGGGAGGGATGCAGTCACGAAGATAGACAGGGCCCGAACCAGCCCAAATCCCAAAATGTATGTAATTTCAATCCCAGAAAAGGCAATTTTTCCCTCAAAAGCTTCTGGAGTACACATTTTATCCTGTTTCCTTCGGCTGATCCCATCTAGTTTCTAGGAAAAGAGCCTCTGGGGATAAACAAGTCCAGGTGGGTTACATTAACAATGCACATTTCAACCCCAGGAGCACAATTTGCCATTCTCAGACTTTTCTAAGGGTAGAAGGTCAGACTGCAAATTTCAGGGAAGGCAAAAATGACATCTGGACTTTCAGAAATTATGTGCCTCACAGTAAAATAATTCATGTGTTACCTGTATACAAATAGGTCTCTCTAGCGTTGTTGTCCCACAACCCCGACAGCATTCATAAGAAGTTGAGTCCTAGTTCTTCATAAACACCTGAAGCAAGTGCTACCAATTTCAGTGGGACTTATTCCCAAACAAATGTGCATAGGATTGCTGTCTCACTCTCAGGTTAACAAACATTTGACTTGGCTGGTGCTAGCCCCCTAAGTCCCAAGACGACCAGCAGCTCAATCCTATGTATGTTTTATTGGAACAAAATCTCTGGCATCCATAAATGAGTCTTGTTTCCAGCAAGTATGCTTAGGAGCCCAGCCAAAAGTGGTTTGTACTTTGGGCTTCTTTGTTTGTTTGTTTTAAAGTAGTGTGCCTAATGCAGCACTTAATTTCCAAAGTCAAAACTGGATTTAAGCGCAAAGACCATAGGCAAATACACCAAGATGTTGTTGTTGTTTGCTTTTAATTTAAAAATAACAACCAATGCTTTGTAACCAGAGCTGTGTTTATCTTTCATGGCCCGCTCCTTTCCCAAAGACGGCCCAAGAAATTAGGACATTTTACAGCAAGGAAGTCAAAATTTAACCATCTGAATTAAACAACAGCACGATTTGACAAATTATTATCTGTATTTAACATTCATAATTCAGATTTATAAAACACCCTGGGATATTATAAACAAATAGTAAAGCTAAAGGTCTTCCCCTTACATTAAGTCTAGTCATGTCCAACTCAGTGGGGGGGGGGGGGGTACTCATCTTCATTTCTAAGGTGAAGAGCCGGCGTTGTCCTTAGACACCTCCAAGGTCTTGTGGCAGTCTATGACTGCATGGAGTGCCATTAACAGTAATTATTGATCTACTCACACTGGCATGTTTTTGAACTGCTAGGTTGGTAAAGGCTGGGCCTAAGAGCGAGAGTTCATCCCGCTCCCCAGATTCGAACCACTGACCTTTCGGTCAGCAAGTTCAGCAGCTCAGCAGTTTAACCTGCTGCACCACCAGGGGCTCCCCTATAAATGAATAGTCATCCAAAAATAAGTAGCAGGTACCCGTCATGGGAACAATATTAAGATGACAAGCAAGAGCACAGGGAGAACAAAGGTTAAGAGGGAAATCATAATTTGAAAATGTTGCTTTTTTTAGGCCTAAGACTGCCAGAATCTCCCTTTTCCAGTTACAAAAGGGACAGACTTCTAATTTAAATCATTAGACATTTCCACTAACACACCACTAAATTTATAAGCAATTTTTTCTTCCATACTTATTTAAAAGAGTGCAGTGACTTCCAGGATTTTATGTTAGTGTAATGATACCACAATACAGACTGCACATAAACTCTCACACATTCAATGAAATTGAAAGGAACAGAGCGTGCAAAGTTACCTTTTGGCAAAAAAAGAAATATGCAGGCCCCAAACCCAGTTTGACTTCCTTCTTGGCTGAAACCCAAGTGCTTGCTCTCCTTATAGAAAGATGGGGCCTCTATCCAGCCTCCCACAATTATTCAAAACTGTACTTAATATGCATTAACCATAAAAACCACACAGTGCAGCTATGCCTCGTAGCCTGAGGGGGAGACGGAGGGGCCATGGCAGGCAGGTGGCAAATTTATAATTCAATCCACTAAAAAAAAATTTCCAAACACCACTAGCTTCTCACTACGTCATGATTGCCTGGCTTCTGGAGGGAAAAGCCTGGCTGAATTGGTACCCATAAAAGGACTCCCCTGTCGCCCTCCTTCCAACTAATCTGTTCAAGCTTCTTAACCAAACTCAGCTGAAAAGCACAGCTTGTGAAGAATCCTAGTAAAAACACTCTCAAAGGACAGGCTTCCAGATGGTTTGGACTTAAAATCTGTTGCATTCCTAATATAAATATATATAAAGTGTTGTTGTTGTTGTGGTTGTTAGTCATGCTAGCTGCTGGGAGTTAAAGTCCAAGACATCTGGTTGGGAAAGGCCACAATGGGCCATTCCAATTTGTACTTTTGGCCAATTCATATCCTATGATTGGCATTGCTAATTTCTCCCATTTAAGTCTTATTGGTAAACCTAGATGTAGGCAACTGAAATTGAGAGTACTGAACCTGTGGATATTGGGGGAGGGATATATTTTGTATACCAATTAGTGAAAGAAATGGAGAAAGTGTTCCATTATTTTACAATCAGGGAATTCAATGCCATTTACAATTATACGACTTTTTAGTGTCAGGAGTGACTTGAGAAACTGCAAGTTGCTTCTGGTGTGAGAAAACTAGCTGTCTGCAAGGACGCCACCCAGGGGACGCCCAGATATTTTGCCATCCTGTGGGAGGCTTCTCTCATGTCCCCGAATGAGAAGCTGGAGCTGATAGATGGGAGCTCACCCCGCTCCCTGGATTTGAACCACCGACCTTTCGGTCAGCAGTATAGACGGCACAGCCACAAGCAAACTTCCGCCCGCCAGGTGTTTTGGACTTCAACTCCCACAATTCTTAAGTGGCTGAGTGGGGGAAGGAAGAGGCCTGAGGCCGTTAGGAATTGTCGTAGTTGAAGTCCAAAACACTTGGGAGGGTTGAAGCCTGGTTTAACCCATTGCGTCACTGGAGGCTCCTAACTATAAGACTAAAACTTCTGAAAGTTGGATTGACTGCACCCTTATGCTCTTGCAAGAGAGTTTCAATACTAATTTTCATACCCACAAAACAGCAAAGAATTAAATTTCTGATACAACCAAAAATATATAGGGTTACCTGTGGTGACAGCTGATAAAAACTGATAATAAACCTGGATAATGAATATATAACAAATTTATTACCAAGAGGGAGGGAATGCCAATGGCTCCATAATAACAAATTGAAAGTTGTCGGTGTTCTTGGAAGATTAGGGAGGAAGTGATAGTAGGAGCAAAATATTTATGAGTTAGTTTGGGAGATTTCTCAGGTCTGATAGTAAAGCACTGAATGAAATCACTGTGGATCTGTGTTCTAGGAGCACTATACACCAACATAATGAAATGCCGTTCTTAACAAGCACACGGCCCAGCAAAAGCGTATGGTCTCAAATGTCTTGAACACTTGTCTTTTCATACTCTCCAGCATTCCAGCCAGGATAAACTTCTGAAGAGCCTGAAACAGCATTCCATGCACAAAGCCTTCCCACTTTTCAAAACAGTATTCATTACACTACCCAGCAAAAAAAAAAAAAAAAAAAGCCAGCCATATTAAATGACTTTGCATGTGTGTGAAGTATATGTTCATATAAGTAAGGGATATTTTTAAGCTATACAGCAGGATTTCACTTCAGAGCACTCTGGAGCATCTCCAAGAAATGCTACAATCCGCTTTGTTCTCTTAATAAGAATGCTCTTTGGGGAACTGTAAACCACCCGAAGTGGATAAAGAAAGTGAGCAAAATAGGATCATGACTAAGTTAACTTCAGCAGAGCTTAGAAAAGTTATTTAGTTTGGATGCCAATAAAGTAAGATAAGGGAAAAAAGATGGAAATTCCTTCCCTCTTCCATTGAAATCAGGATGGTCAATGATTCATTTTTGGCTGCATTACAAACCAAATGTTTCTGTCGAACTGTGGTCACTGTCTTAGAACTGAAGCCCAAAACAGCAACATTTCCAAACTTTGCTTTTAGCAAGACCGTCTGATGGCATCAGATGGCATCCATTTGAGGAGTAATACTATCATTATACCTCTGATTAATAGCTACCATTCGTATCCGTGCCCTGTTCGCACCATCAGCTCAATAGATATCTTGAGCAATAATCAATTTGCCCCCAAATGATGCTTCCATTCAATATTTGTGGTTTTTTCTTACGTCTAATATAACAGGCTGCATTTTTTATTTAATTTTAGTTGTTAAGTCATAATTTGTTTTTGTATGTTGGGTTGCCAAATTTCATTACTATGGATGTATTGTTGTTGTCTTCGGGCATTGACTATTTGACTTTATGTTTGGAATCCGCTCAGA